GAGCCTTTCTTTTTTTAATCCTATCATAACTCAATCAGTTTTTATTCAATTTTAATGAAATATGTATTTTTGAAATTACCGTAAAATTTGGGCCAAAATGAGTATAAACATTGCTGAATTAGGCTAGGCTACATTTTGAAATTTCAAAAAAATTTAAAAAAAATTTAAAAAATAGTTTTACAAAAAAGGTTATAACTTTCTTCGAACTTTATATTTTATGAAAATTTAAAAAGTAAAATGTAGATCATCAAAGTTTCTACAAAATCATATAAAATTCAATCACTTGTCAAATGCGCTCCACCGCACAGAAGACTCTAAAGAGAATCTTCAGGGAAGGCAGCGTCTCCTGACGACAAGGCTTGCGTTTTATATCATAACTTTCTTCAAAATCAAAATTTTTTCAAAATTCTAATTGTAAAGTGTAAACCTTGAAAAATTCTACAAAACTTTATAAAATAAATTTTTCCAGGCCGACGAATTATTTGTCCTATGCATCGATGATGACTATATCACTTTCCTAGCACTGATCACAGCTCTAGGAGTACTTCTCGAAATTTGCCAAATGCTATTTTTTATGTTTTGTTGTTTATACTACCTATTTTTATCAATTCATGGATTTACATCTAAAAAAACTCGAAAATTACAAATTGCATTTTTCGGGAGTATCATCTTACAAGTATCCATTCCAGTTATGTTTCTAATACCTTCTTTTGTTTTTATGGTCTTTTCAGTGGTCACTGGGTATTATAATCAAGGTAGGAAATTCAAAAAAATTTCAAATTCTTCCAAAGTTCTGAAATTCCAGCTCTAACAAACTTCGCCGTTCTCCATGCCTCTCTTCATGGATTCCTCTCCACCATCGTCGTTTTAATTATCCACAAACCCTATCGAAATTTCATACTTTCATTTTTTGGAAAATCCAAAAATCTAGAATCACTGAAAAAATCCACAATGTGGGATACAAGACGAATGAGTGTGTTTCCGACAAATGTGACAAATTGAATAAAGTTTTTAAAAAATTATACAAAACGTTAAAAAATTTACTTTGAAGTTATGATTTTTTGCTGCCATTCGTATGGGTACTGTAGAGAAAAGGCTCAGAGAGCAGCCAGAAGGGCCAATGATGCACCTGTTAAATAAAAAAATAAAATTAGAAATTCTTAAAAAATTTTAAAAATCGGTCAACTTTGACCTAATTTATCTCGATTTTTGTAAAAGATATCAAGAAGTCGTTTACTGATAAAATGTGTGAAATGTTATAATAATTATTTTATCAATTGATAACTTTTTGATATCTCTTACCGGATACGAGATATATCAAACTTTGGCCGCAGCCGGATCTTAGTAGGCGCCAACTTTGACTTAATTTATCTTGATTCCTGTGAAAGATATCAAAAAGTTGTCAACCAATATAATGTGTAAAATTTTATGATAAATGTTTTATCAGTTGATTACTTTTTGATATCTATTACAGGAAACTAGAAAATAAGTTCAAAGTAAAGATGTAAGATTTCGAGCTATTAGAGCATCCAAAGTAAGTCTAACTTAAGAATTACGGAATTTTGATTGGTTTTTTCTGAAAGTCTAGAAGAACCTACCAATTACATATTTCACAAAAAGTGCTGAATTCAAAAACCCGTCATAACTATATTAATTTCTTAGACCACCAATTCCATACTTCACAACAGTTGATGTACTTTTACCCTTGGGTGGATCTGTCACATCTATAAATGTGGAAGAATTTGGAAGAATTTGGAAAACGGGAATGGTCGTAAGCCCCCCCAGCTCCACCATCATTATTTGCTCCAAAAGCTACAGCGATCAGTGCAAGAGCCAAAAAGAGCAAGGTCGTTTTGTGGAGAATTTCTTGTTTGAAGAGTTTTGAAAAATACTGACTTCTTCCTTCAGGTCCCACTTCTTTTATAGACCGACTTTTATCTTTGCTGTAGATCTTCAACTGATCTTATCATAGGACCCAAAAAAGCGTTTAAAAAAACAAAAAAAGGAAACTTCCCATGCCGGGAATCGAACCCGGGCCGCGTGGGTGAAAACCACGAATCCTAACCACTAGACCACATGGGAGCGGCGAGAGAGGGAGTGAGGAGGGCGTAGAGGAGGAGGATGAAAGTGGGGCGAGGAGAGGGGGGGGGGGGAGGAGGAAAAATGGACATTTGGGATTTTTGGAAATCTGAAAAGAAAGTCGAAAACTTAGAATTCTGAAAGTAGATCTGAAAGTAAAAAAAGATAAAAAAAAATAAAGATTTCAATTAAATGATCTTCATTTTTCTAATACAATCATAAATCATACAATAAATGACACAGTAGTTCAATGACTAATTTTTGTAGATTGGAGACCTGTAAATACGATATTGGAAAAAATATCTACAGTGACCCATTTGCACTAGAGCGCACTTTAAAATCCTACATTTAATTTCCAGTATTCCCTCCAGCTCCTGAAGACGTTCCCTCTGGATTCTCTTGAATTTCAGAATTCTGTTCGGTAGAGCGATTTTGCAACTTTTTGATTGCTTTATCGTCACGGAAACGAATCCCCATCGGTCGTTTGATATAGGGATAGTCCATCGGAGTGATTTGCACTTTTTTGGCTTCTTCATCGTTTTCGGAATTCTCCATTTGGCTTGTTGGAGAAATGGTTTTTTTTTTTTTGAAAAAAAACTCTATTTTGAATAATCTAGGTGACTCGGTTTCCCGCGCCGGCGCAGCTTGAGATGCAGCCTTTCCGGCTCGCAACTTTAAAGCACATTATCTCGGCGTCTGTAAAAGATACAAAAAAGTTGTCAACTGATAAAATAAGTACAATTTTATGACAAATATTTTATCAGTTAACAACTTTTTTGTATCTCTTACAGGAACGAAGATAAATTGTTTCAAAGTTGGTCATGCTTTTCTAGTGTTCACAACAGCTTTAAAACCGCTGCAATTTCATTCATTTGTTTATTCATCCTAATTAAATGAAAATTATTTTGAAATATGTACAAATCAATTTATTGAGTTTCACTTCAAAAAATATATATTCTACTTGCTCAAAGTTGAGTACTCGGCTTTCATCCTGACCAGGATTTCTTTTACGTCGTCTGGACCCTCGGCTGCCACCTTGAGCAATCCTAAAGCAAGGGTTTCCTGTGCGAATTTCCCCCTATAAAGGGGGCTGGTGAAAGTCCGATCGAGTTGAACGTCTTATACAAAATTCCTTGGGTGAAAACTCCAACCTCATTATCGGACATCCATTTGAATAGGTCTGAAAGAAGAAAATTTGTGTTATTTGTAAGATAGGTTTCAGTAAAAAACGTACTGTAGTCATTCTGGAAGTCCGGACGCTCGCAATTCAATGTGGTGAACCTGATTTGGAAAATCATGAAGACGATGGGCACAATAACCTCGTCCTCAGCCTCTTTGTACGAATCCGTATCCTGACTCAAGCTGGTCATCCAGTCCATTGTGACACCTGGCAAATCCCGCCCTTGCAGATACTCGGTGCTGGAATGGATCACGGCTGGACCCATCTCACGATTGGCCCAGCATACGGGCTGTCCTGCCTCCTCGGTGGCTCTCATGAGATTATGATAACATGTATCGTCGATTTCGAAAGCCACCGTATCGTTCATTAGAGATCCAACTCTCAGATCGATCCCAGGAGCCGCTTCTTGAGTTTTGGAGCCTTGGCATCTCGGTTCCTCTTGTAGATCGCTTCCTCGAGAACTGTTCTGACTGGCTCATGGGTGACAGCTTTCCATTCTCCGAGATGATCGGAATCCAAGAAGTCCGAGTTTCCGTAGACGACTCGAGGAGGTGGTAGGAGACTCGCCTTTACGGACAACATTTTTTTCTCCATCTCGATCCCGTGACTTCTCATATACCGATCTGTATTGTCAACGATCGGAGGACAATCACCTATCGGATTCTGGCCGATGATGTTTTGAAGGACAAGCTTACGCTGCTCGGCAGTAAGGGTAGTGTATTGGATCATCTGTTCTTTGAGCTGTTGGCTGACGTAGCCAGTGAATCTGACAGAATCAATAAGCAAACTGCACACTTCCAATGGAAACAAAAACATTCTGTTTCGATCCCTACTTGGTGGTTTCTTTCGAAGACACGGGAGATGCGGGTAGCGGATGTTGTAGCCGTATTTGCCTCTGTAGTGGTCAATGATCGATAGCGTCTCATTATTCTCATTGACGAATTCGTAGAAAGAATCGGCTCCGAACTCGAAGAATTTGAATGTGGGAGAATTTCGCAATCTTCTCAAATCTCTCTCTCTTGATAATTTCTCTGGTCGTCGAATCGGATTCTCTCTTCGTTTGAGACAAGGATCTTCATCTTGTTGAGCACCTGGGACATCAAGGCCACATTTTTCTCCGTGACACGGGCATTCTTCATGTCAGCGTCCCACTTTCCGTCGGCAATATCCTCATCAGGAATGGTGTCTCCATGGATGAGCTCCCAAAACAAACGGACTAATGGGTAGCCGGGACGGGTGAACATCGTGTGGGACACTGAAATTTTGTGTTTTTTCGGTGAATTGCTGTAGAGCGCATTTTCAAAAATTGCACCGTGGGCCACTTAGCAAGAATTGACTGCGTTTAAAACTTTTCGACTCTGCGTGACGGCCGCCAGCTGAGTTGCGGGTAAAATACGCTTACACCTTCAGTTTTAGGAATGTTGGCGACTGCTATGCCGACACATGACTCGCCCAAACTTGATTTGGCGCCAGTAGAAGTCAAGTTTCAAATTCGGCACCAAGCCGAGTTTGGAGGCGTCGCGCCATCACCTGAGTAGCGACTCAAGATGGCTTAATACTGAAGTGTTGTAAGCGTTATTCAGTCGCTACTCCGCTGGCGACCGTCACGCTGACACTTGGTGCCAAGATTTAAAAAAGGTATTTGGGTCCCAAACTGATTTTTGGAATGAATCGGAAAAAAAAATAATTCACTATACCGTTTAGTTTGTATTGTTGTATTTCAACTTTTTCCTATCTGTCAGAGTAGTCAGGTCGCAGTTCTGTAAAAATCCATGTAAAAAAATTAAGAACGTTTAATAAAATACCTCACTTCAGATCCAGCGACCAGTAGATTGTTTCAAAGAAGAAGTGCTCGCTGAAGAATTTTCCTTGCGAATAGCACCATTTGGACTGCAAAAATAATTTTTAGAAATTTGAAATTACATCTCTGAACAACTCACGAGTCATGTTTAAGGATAGCGCTGCCGACCCGATCCATAGGATGGAATAGGAATAGTTTAAAGGAACAAATAATACCCAGAAAAATATAAACACTAGGGACTCTCCAAAGAATTCATTCATTTATAGGATTCTTTTGGAGAGCTCCAGAGAGACGTCTATTCAGAAAGTCGTCATTTGGGAGAAATGGAAAATCTATCTGAATAGAAGTAGAGGGCCATGTTTTCTGTCCGTCTGTCTGCGCTTCTTCAATCTCCACACTCTCTAAAGGGGCACACACGCACACCTTGTTTGTGCCAAGAGAACACGCCAGACGCTGTGTCCGTCCTAGAGTAACGTGTCGACACAAAAATCGATACGATTCGAGTCGACCAGTCGGACTATTGAAGTCGATAAAAATCGTGTCGACTGACACCAGAAACGACACAGTATCGACACAGAGTCGACACAACACGACTCTGTGTCGACTCGTGTCGACACAACCTCGAGTCGACTCTGAGTCGTGTCGTGTCGATACGAGTCGACTCGACGCCGGTCTCTTTTCCGAGAGGACTACGCGAGGGCGCGGACCCTCGTGTAGTCCTCTCGGAAAAGGGACTGTTTTCGCTGTTTATTGTTTTTTTTGTTTTTTTTTTCGCTACAAATCGATTTTTTTCGCAAATATTGGTATTTTATGTGTTATTACTTCAAATTTTCCACATTCATTTAAATGTAATGCTGTAGAAAACTTATCTTCCGGAGTTTATCAGTTATATCTTATCGAAATTTGTATTATTCTATCACATAATGTTCTACTTACTACCTTTACTCCTGCTTCAAATCGTGATTTACTCTAAATTTTTTTACAGAATGAGTGTAAAGCAACCCTTGATCAACTCCCATAGTTCTCCTTCGTCCGTTCCTAGTGCCTCTCCGATCTCTCCCATCAGTCCACCTAGCCCAAACAATTCATAATTAATTTTAAAACTTTTTCGGTCAAATTTAATTCGGTTTCATTTTTCGGTTAAATTTGTATTTTATTATACTGGTGTTTTGCAATAAATCTAAATTCAACTCAATTTTTCATTTTCTTCTCGCATTTTCTAACTTTTTTCTAAATAAAACAAAAAAAAATTCAATATCTTAAATAAATTACTGTTCAAAAGAGCGCGTTGAAAATGAAGTGTCGTGTCGTGTCGACACGAGTCGATACAGTATCGACATGAATCGACACGACAAGCGAGTCGACACGACACGAGTCGACTTGAGTCGACGCGACACGCGAGTCGACACGACACGAGTCGACTCGAGTCGACACAAGTCGACACAAGTCGACTCTGTGTCGACTTGCGTCGATATGATTTTTCAGATATTTTTCACTTGTGTCGATACGACTCTGTGTCGACACGTTACTCTACTCCGTCCGTGCAAGACTGTGCCGGCTAGTCGCTTCTTTCAAATTTGCATCCAATATCCGCTCTAATGACTGCTATCTTTCAGCGCGATTTATCTTACTTTCCGTAATAGAATTCAAAAAACGGTCAACTGATAAAATGTGTAAAACTTTATGCTCAACATTGTGTTAGTTTACTTTTTATTTATATCTTTCACAGGAACCGAGATAAACAGGGCTAAAGTTGACAACCATGAGGAGCCGCCGGCTGCCCGCCACTTCTCTGCGCCCGTGAAGCTTGAGCAGCAGCCCCTTTGGCTCTTAACTTTGAGCGCATTTATCTCGGTTCCCGGTAAGCATACAAAAAAGATGTAAACTAGTAAAATGTGCAAAATTTTATGAAAAAAATTTTATTAGTTGATAACTTTTTGGTATCTCTTACCGTAATCCAGATAAATGCGCTCATATGGGGTGATAAGGACCGAGAGAAGGATATCCACTAGGCTGAACCTGGAAAAATGGGGACCATTGGATGTTTGGCTGTATGGAAACTTTTGATTTTTATACCATTTTTTAGAAATTTTCAAGATCTATATATTACATTTTGAAACTTACCAGCCATGAGAAGCTGCCAGAATACCGGGAAACTCCGCCCCCTTCTTCACACCTCACGGTATTTCTTAAGGTGTCAGGAGGGGATTAAAGGGCTATAGTGTATTATACCTTGACATGGATAAGATAAGGTGAAAACGAAAAAACCGTAAAATAGAGATTTTCAAATAATCTGGAAATAACAAAAAATCTGAAAGTTAGACTCCGATCCACTGGTCCCCATTTGACACTTACCAACATCTTCGATCCGGGATTTCTGGAAGGTTCTGACTCTGGAACTTTGAAAATTCAAATTTGTTGCGTTCAGAGCTTCAAAATGAGTATAAACATGGCTATGTTCCTTTAAATTTGAAGCTTTCGTGGTGAGACCCAAAAAATCGAAATTTTCAAAACTGGTCATGTTTATACTCATTTTGAAGCTCTTAACAAGACGATTACAATGGATTAAATTGCAAAATGAAAAACTCAAAATTTAAGATTCTATGAAACAAAAAATGAAATCTACCGATTCTTCTTATCAAGTTCTCCCATATCTTCAGGTTGTTGTCTGAAACAAAATTGTTGCAAGTATTTTCCTTTTCTCCCAGAGTCATATGGACGGCAGCTGATCGAAAATTTCCACCTGATATCATGAAAATATGAATGAAGCACAAAATGAGCAAGACATTTTTTATTCTAAACAAAAAATTTTTTTTCTGAAAATCCCCTATTTTTGGATAGCCCAAAACTCATTTTAATTTTGACCCACTTTTTTGAAAATTTCACAGTATACTAAACAAAACTAGGGCTTCATTTTTGTAGTTGATAACTTTTTTGAAAAACCGACGCCTGAAGAGATAGAACCGCAGACAGTTAGAGTGTCTAGTTGTCTGAGCCTCGTATCGCTATATCTTGGTTCATAGAACAACTGGAAAAGTAATTTTCGGTGCGAAATGTGTCAAATTTTGATTATTTTTAAAGTTTGGATCATTGCAAAAAACATTTTTCAACTAACATAATCCTTTTAGCTTTACTAGAAGTCTAAATGCACTAATTTGAAGTCTAAGCTCGACACTTTAACTGTCTGCGTTTCTATCTCTTCAGGAAGTGATTCTATCGAAAAGTTTACAATTACAAAAATGTAGGAATTCAAATTTTACACATTTTATCAGTTAACAGGTTTTTGGTATAGTTTACAGGAGCCGAGATAAATTGAGTCAAAAACAGACCCCGCCCCTTGTCATCCTTTAAAAGGCGCTGCTTCTTTAACCCGTTTTATCTCAGCTACTGACAGTGATATCACAAAATTGTTAACTATTCAAATATGTAAATTTTCAGAATGAACATTTTATCAGTTGACAACGTTTTTATATCCATCACAGAAATCGAGATATTTAAAGTTGTATGTGGTTGCCGACCAATCTTCTTGTCTTAAAGAGCGACGGCGGGCCGCCGGCAGATCCTCATGACTGTCAACTTTGAGCACATTTATCTGAATTACTGTAGGCGGTATCAAAAAGTGGTCAACTAATAAAATGTTGCTGATATCATGATAAGCACTTTATCAGTTGACAACGTTTTTATATCCTTCACAGAAATCGAGATATTTAAAGTTGTATGTGGTTGCCGACCAATCTTCTTGTCTTAAAGAGCGACGGCGGGCCGCCGGCGGATCCTCATGACTGTCAACTTTGAGCACATTTATCTGAATTACTGTAGGCGGTATCAAAAAGTGGTCAACTAATAAAATGTTGCTGATATCATGATAAGCACTTTATTAGTTGACAACTTTTTGATATCTTTCACAGGAATCGAGATATTTAAAGTTGTATGTGGTTGCCGACCAATCTTCTTGTCTTAGAGGGCGATGGCGACTCCTCATGACTGTCAACTTTGAGCCAATTTATCTCGGGTCCTGTAAAAGATTTCAAAAAGTTTTCAACTGATAAAATATTGATCATAAAATTTTACCTTTTTTGTCAGTTGACCACTTTTATTTATCTCTTACAAAAAATGAGATATATGGACCCGAAGTTGACGGCTTTGGGGGGGGGGGGGGCGGCATTTCGCAATGAGAAGTCGTCTCTAGTTTGATCTACCCTTCCAACACCTATGTTTATATTGCTCATTCTCATTAATTTCCTCCTCACCTTTAATCATTTTTAATTGATTTATTTACTTATCTCATCCTTTTGATCTACCGCGTAGCTGTATAATATAATCCTCCGCCCATCTGGCATCTTCCCTTGTCCTTTATGCTCACCTTCCTTCTCCTTATTCTTCCTTTCCCACCACCTGCTCATGCTCCATTTTCTTCTTTTTTCCCTCTTCAGCATTGTTTCCATGGATACCCCCCACACCTCGTCATCCCTTCAAATCTAATTTAGACCTTTTTTGGGAAAATTTTGAGCTCTTTTTTGCCCATTTTGAGATTCGGAATTCTTAAAAATGGGCGGAGCTTAGATTTGATTGTTCCAGACCATTCTTAATGAGCTCGTTTTCTAATTTACCATAATTTTTGTATCATTTCCTATTCTATTTTTCAGGTAACCAAAAAAATGACGGACCCTCAAAAATTGGCGCCAAAAACTGACAGAATTGGAACTCCAATTAGCGATGAGTCATCTGAAGATTCGTTGAGCCAGATTCGAGGACTAGAAGAGGATAGAGTGAGTGATAATTGGGGTAATTAACGAAATTCAAAAGTAGATATTTTTCCCTACAAAGTGCACCAAAAACCAGCTCTCTACGAGTATTCTGAGCCAAGTTACATAGCAAGAAGAAGAGAGACGCAGAGAAACGAGAGTGTCTAGTTGTCTGCGTCTCTCTTAAAATTTAAACATCCATAACTTTCCTCCAAATAGTCGTAGAAAGCTGGTTCTTGGACCATTTTTCATGAAATTTTGTGTATTTTCAGAAAAAAATATATGTTAACTGAATTTTTGATCCTGAAATTTGAAATTTTCAGCCATCTCTATTCATATTTTCTCTCTTTTTTCCTAATTTTCTCTCTTTTTCCAAATATTACATTTTTAGATAACATCTCATGCTAACCACATTCTCGGCTTTTGCTTGAATGATTTGAAAGTACATAGGAAACTCATGTTTATGCTTCACAAAGTTATATTTAACATGTTTTTCAGTTTTGGATTTTTTCAAAAAAAATGTCACATGATATCAGACTTTTTTCGTTTTTAACCATATCTTTCGTGGCTCTTTTTCTTGTTATTTCGACTCTTGGGATTCTGAAAAAAAAATAAGACAAAGATCTCTCCCGCCAAATTTTGCCCTGAAAATGTCTAAATGCAAGTCATACCAACTATTCTTTCGCTGGGACCCTTCAGTTTTACCGGTCCTACTTGTGCCAAAAATATAACCGAATTGTATATTATTTTGAAGACCTTTTTAAGTTCTACATTTTACATTTTGCTGTGCTTTAAAACTTTGAGTTTGAAGAGAGTTATGACCCTAAATGCAAGTCCTGTCGTGAGGACAAGTGAGTGGGTATCCGACCCATAAGTTTAGCCGGCCCTACTATACGAGCATATTTATCGAGCACAATTAAGCTATATATCGTTTTGTAGAAATTTTCAAATCCTACATTTTACTGTTTAGAGTACTTTAAAATATAAAGTTTGAAGAAAGTTATGGGCCTAAACATTAAACAGTAGAGTGTAGTACCCTGCTTTTTCTGACTTGTCTGTTTAACGTTTTTTGTGCGGTACAGCGTATTTTGTATGTAATTGAATGTAATATTGTTTTGTAGAACTTTTCAAATCCTACATTTTCCTGTTTGCATTTTTGTAAAATATTAAGTTTGAAGGAAGTTGTGACCTTAAGTGCAAGCCTTCTCGCCACGACGCTACCGGGCACCCTTCCCACCAGTTCAACCGGCCCTCTTCAAAAAGATTGTGTCCTAAATAAAATTAAATTGTATATAATTTTAAATAACTCTTCAAATCCTACATTTATCATTTCAATTTAGCAAAAAATATCAAGTTTGAAAAAAGTTACAGCCCTAAACGCAAGCCTTGCATCAAATCGCTCCGACCCTTCAGTTTAGCCGGTTCTCCTCGTGGAGCTTATGTTTTGAATATAGCCGAGTTGTATATCATGTTAAAGAACTTTTTAAATCCTCCATTTCTCATATTGAGTTTCTGGAAAATATTGTGTTTTAAGAAAGTTATGACCCTAAACACAAGACATATGCCTTTCCCGGGGTTTCCATAGTAACGGGGAAGGAAAATTCGGGATACAATTAATGTCGAGGCACACTCCCTCTGTCTAATTTAATATTTTCTCCGGAGAAAGTGACAAACAACAAAAACACAAATCCATAGATTTTCTTTCGAGAATTCTCTTCTAAATTTTTTCCATAATATCCCGTAAAACCTGTAATAGAACAGCCCCCTTCCCCAAACCTTCAACTTTGAGCCTATTTATCTCGGTTACTGTGAAAGATACAAAAAAGTTGTCAGTTAATAAAATGTTAATCATATTATCAGAAGTATTTTGTTAGTTGAAAACTTTTTTGTATCTCTCATAGGAACCGAAATAAATCCCATTTTTCCAGGGAATCTACCACAACGAAGAAGTCGTGGTTTCGCCAAGAAACGAGTCTGACGACGATCTTCCATCTAGAAGAATCCTTCCGGATACTGTGTCTGTGGATCATATTGTTGAAGAGGATAGTGACATTGTGATGGGCGACGGTGGTGTGGTGCCGAATATGGAGAGACGACGTGAGTTTGGTTGGGCGGGAATTTGAATTTTTTTGGAAAAAAAATTTCAAAATTTGACATTTTTCTCTATAATTATCGTACCTTATAAACAAATCAAAAAATCTCATGAGATTTTTTTTTCGAAAAATAAAAAATAGAAGTGACAAATTTATAATTTTCTGAAAGAAAATGTAGCTGTAAACATCAATTATTAGGTTGGCGGGAAAGTCTTTGTCACTTTTTCAATAGTTTATTTCTCAAAGAAAAAATAACCGAATAATTAATTATATTGTCCATCATTATCAACAACATGTCTCCAACGTTCCCTCAATTTATGGATTCCATTGCGGTAGAATCCAGCCGGGCGTGAGGCAAAGTATTGTTTGAGTGCCGCTTCGACCGCTCCACGGGAATTGAAGCTTCTTCCTTCGAAGGCACGTGTCATATCGCCAAATAACCAATAGTCGGAAGGAGCAAGATCAGGAGAATACGGGGGGTGAGGGAGAACATTCCATCCATATCCCATCAGCTCCTGCTTCACTTGTTTCGAAACATGTGGGCGAGCGTTATCATGTTGATAGTACACTTTCTTGTCTTTCAGGGCCGAACGGTCGACTGCTTTCTTGAGGTTTCGTAGTTGAGTAGTGTAGAGGTCTCCAGTTAATGTTTTGCCCTCGGGCAGAAGTTCCCAGTAGATGGGGCCGTCCACTCCCCACCACACAGAGAGCATAACTTTTTTCGGATGAAGGTCGGGTTTTGGGACATCCTGTGGGCTCTCTCCTTCTCCAACCCACTGGGATTTCCTGTGGTGATTATAGTAGAAGACCCACTTCTCATCTCCGGTTATTAGCCGGTCCAGCCATCGATCGCCCGCGTGGAGAGGAGAAGAGTAATCGAATCGTCGACTCGGCGGTCAAGGTTGGCTTGAGTCAGGTGATGAGGTATGAATCGACCAAAAAGTTTTCTCATTCCAAGAGACTTCAAACCTTCAAGGACTGTGCTATGGTGAACTCCGAATGTGACAGCTAGTTCACGGCTAGATTGAAATGGATCCGATTGCAATGCGTGCTTCAGCTTGTCCAAATCCAACTCACGGGGTCTCCCAGAGCGATCCTTTTCATCGAGCGAGAAGTCATCTTTTTCGAAACGATGGAACCAATTGCGAATAGTATTGTAGTGAGGGGCATGTGTGTTGTACACATTCTTCAAGAAAGTTTCCGAATCCTTCATCGTGGTGTGAGATAGGAAGAGGTAAATCAAAACATGTCTGATGTGAATAGCAGTGGGAACAAACATATCGTTTCAATTACAGATGAGGAGCAGGGAAGGAGATGGGGACTTGTTTATATGGAAGGTTCTTATCACCTTGTTATTCACTAGAGTCGATATCATACACAGCCTCCATATACGAGAACAGTGATTAAACAAACAGAGTGACAAAGACTTTCCCGCCAACCTAATATATTGTAAAAATAACAAAAAATGTGACTTACGATTTCCTAGAAAATTCCAAAATTTCCAATTTTCTAGAATTTCAGAAATATTTCAGAGAATATTCTTAAATTTTCTGAAACTCCTGACTTTTTTAATTTTTGGGATTTCCTCAAATTTCTAAAATTTCTAAAATTACCGTAAACACTCTAATAGAACGCCACCCAAACCATCCGCTTTGAGCCCATGTATCTCATTTCCTGTAAAAGATATCAACAAACTATAAATTGATAAAATGTTGCTGATATTATGACAAACATTTCATTAGTTGACAACTTTTTGATATCGCCTACCGTAATCCAGATAAATGCGCTCAAAGTTGACAGCTATTTGGAGCCGCCGGCGGCCCGTCGCTTCTCTGCGCCCTCCGGCGCCCGCGTAGCTTGAGCGGCAGCCCTACCAGCTCGCAGATTTGAAACAAATTATTTCAGCTCCTGTGAAAGATACAAAAACGTTGTCAACTGATAAAATATTAGTCATAAAATTTTACACATTTTCTTAGTTGACCGCGTGTTAATACCTTTTACAGGAAACGAGATATTTTGTCTCAAAGTTGAATGTCCGGCTGGCGTTCTATTAGAGTCTTTTCGGTATTTTTATTTTTCTAGATTTTTAAATTTTCCGATTTTCTAGAAACTTCCAAATTTTGAATTTGAATTTTCTAGAATTTCAGAAATATTTCAAATTTTCAGCAATTCCGAATTTCAGATTTTTCTTTTTTTTTTCATTTTTGTTCGACTCAACTTTTCATATTTTCAGAAATTCCGAATTTTTCAAAATTCGCTGAAAAATTTTCCGAAATTCAAGCTTCGAAAAACATAATTAATCAACTTCCTAATTATCCCTCAATTACCCCAAATCAACTATTTGTTCAGGATCCGTCCGTTTCAGTGGACCTCAAGCTGAGGAAGAAGACGGAAGAAATAAGCACTTCCGGACTCCATCTCCTGAATCTCTTCGTTATATCCAGGTATGGATAATTTAGTTAATTAGAGTACTCAATTAGTTGTCTTAATTGGGTAGTTAAGAATTTTCCGTTTTGAAAATTATGGCTGATAAAATGTAGAAGCTTTACGAATTTTTTGAATTTCCCTCCAAAATTGACATTTTCAGCGTTTATGAATTTTCAGTATTTTTAGAATTTTGGGATTTTTTCAAATTTTAACAAAATTCAGAGTTTCATGCTGATCATTGAAACAGGAAAATTTCAAACTCCATATTTTTCGAAATTTCCTTAGAATTCTTAATTCTAGGGAAACGCTTCAAATGTGTAGTCTATAATTGTTGGTTTTCGAAATTTTTGAGAAAAAAAGGAAAATGTCAAAATGCGGGGGCCGAGCCTTCCCCCGGAAGTTTCTAGTGCCATTTTCAAGATTTTTGGGGTTTTAGGAGAGACTTGCATATAAAATGGATGGATGGAAAACAATAATTTTAGTTTTAGTTTTGAAAGGTTTTAGGTCTTTTTCGATTTTATGGAATTTTAGGATTATCAAAATTTGCGGAAATTCAAACAGTTCCAATTTAGAAACATTTCAAATACCTCCACCCGGACCGTTTATTTTGAGCATTTATATCTCATTTCCTGTAAGAGATATTAAAAAGTGGTTAACTGATAAAATGTTGCTGATATCATGATAACATTTTATCAATTGACAACTTTTTGGTATCTTTCACAGGAGCTGAGATAAATTGTTTCAAAGTTGCGAGCTGGTAGGGCTGCCGCTCAAGCTGAGCGGGCGCCGGAGGGCGCAGAGAAGCGACGGACCGCCGGCGGCTCCAAATAGCTGTCAACTTTGAGTTAGCTGTCAACTTGCATTTATCTGGATTACGGTAGGTGGTATCAAAAAGTGGTTAACTGATAAAATGTTGCTGATATCATGATAAACATTTTATTAGTTGGCAAATTTTTGATATCTTTCAAAAGAAGTGAGATATAAAGGCTCAAAGTGGAAGGTCCGGGTGACGTTCTATTAGACTGTTTACGGTAGTTTCAACATTTTGAAGATTTTTAAATGATTCCAAAAATCTGAAGTTTTTCAAAAAAAAATGTATTTCTCGAATTTTCCATAAATCTAGATATTGTTCAAATTGACATTTTTCAAAATTTCTAAAAAATAAACAAAATCCTGAAATTCCACTTTCCCCATCTTTTCCAAATGTGCTGAAGTTCTAATTCTAGAAAATTTTGGAGTCCTGAAAAATCTGAAAATTTCGAAAAATCCAAAAAATTCCAAAAACCTCAGAAAAAGCTTCATAATTCACTTTTTTGGTGTTCCCTCTAATTTTGAATGCCTAAACATTTTTTCCTCCAATGCTTCCCTTCTAATGCCTCCTCTGATAAGTTATCAGTGATAATCCCTTTGTGGTTCACAACAAAAAACAATTCCACCTGCATTGTTTTCATTGGGTTGCCCCTGGCAACCCCAAATCCTTATAGACCCATGAAATGACGAGAGAGTGTGTAAAGGTGAGAGAGTGGTTAGAGAAACAAGAAAAATGTTTTGAGCTGCTGCTCGGCGGCCCGTCTAACTTCATTTCTGAAGTAAATTCTATTATAATCCTCTTCTATTATTGCTCAGCTTTATTTTCTTAATTACTTAATTACCCAATTAACCCAGCTAATTAATACAGGTAACATAATTTTTCTTTACTAATTAATTGTAGGCTCTCGAAAATCCAATGGCTGCCGGTAGTGAGTTTGAGAACGAATTCAAGGATTTGACGGATGATCCAGGTGAGCAAATAATCTGAAAATCTGAAAATTTCAGAAATTTCAAAAAATCGAATTTTGAAATTTTTTTTCCAAATTTTTTAATTACCCTAATTATCTATATTTTTCCAGTCATCAATATTCGTCGTCCATCTCAACCACCACCACTCGGTTCGCCACCAGCCTACACCAGTGGTGATGAAGGGTCCCGTACGCCACCACCAACGGGACCACCAACTAGTTAGTTAATTAGGCTTAATTAGCTCTTAATTACCTATTTTAACTTTTACGCGCCTTTTGAAATATTATAAAAACTGAGAAAAAAGACCAAAAATGATGTTTGCCACCAAGGGGATTCGAACTCGCGACCTCTAGAACAAAATTGTAGCGCGCTAGCCACTACACCAAGGCACGCAATTGTGAATAGAGACGTGGAGGGTGTATACATTAGTGAGCTTTCTCGCATTCTCTTGGTGAGCTGCTGTGAAGCCGCGATGAAATAATAGAAGCTCTTCAGAAGACGTCAAATTCTGAATTTTCAAAATTTTTAAATATCAGCTTATACTTGAAACTATTCCTGATTCAACCGTATAACTTTAAGCTCGATCGGTTGAGGCTAAGTGGGTGAAAAAAGCATTTATAAAATTTCAGCTCTAATTAGTCCTAATTATCCCAATTAGCCTTTTTCAGACACCACCACCAGGCAAGTGTCTTCTTCTAACAGTGAAAATCTATTTTCAAAAATCTCGGCTCCTTTCAAAAATGCCTATCGCAGGGCGTCGCGGATCGAGGACGACTCCAGCGACAATCGCAGCGATGATGATGAGGAAGACGAGGATGATGATGATGGTAGGATACTGAATGTTGATGAATTTGTTGTAAAAGTGGAAAAAATGAGGGGGATTCCAGAAAAAACGAGGAAAAACGAGAAAAAACGAGAGAAAATAGCCTGAAATAGGGAAATGACCGTTTCGCAACTGTGACGTTTTAGAACCAGACATTTTAGAACTTTGTATTGTGCAATCGGATGTACTAGAACCAGTCATTTTGTAACCGGGCGCTTGAGAACGGTTCATATCGTAACAGGACGTTTTAGAACCGACTAATTCGCCATTGGACGTTTTAGAAATTGTGGTTTCGAAACCGGACGTTTTAGAACCCGCAAAGAGGAAAGTGGACTTTCTAGATTCTGTAATTTTGCAACCAGGCGTTTTAGAACCCGTTGTTTAGCAACTTGAACGTTCTCAAACCGATTATTTCGCAACCGAATATTCTAGAGCCGGTCATTTGGCAACCAGTCACTCTAGAACCGGCCATTCCAAAAGTTGACGTTCTAGAACCAGTCAATTTGCAAATGGGCGTTTTAGAACCTATAATTTCGCAACCGGACGTTTTCAAACCGGCTATTCTGTAACACGACGTTCTAGAACCAGTCATTTCGCAACTAGACGTATTGGAACCGACTTCTTCCAAACCAGACGTTTTAGAACGAGCCACTTCAAGACTGGACATTCTAGAACCAGTCATTCTGAAACCGGACGTTTTAGAACCGGCAATTTCGGAAGGAGACGCTTTAGATCTTGATTTTTTGCAACTGAACGTTTAAGAACTTCTCATTTCGCCTCCGGACATTCTAGAACTAGTCATTTCGCAAAAAGACGTTTTAAAACTGATAGTTTTGCTACTGGACTTTTTAAAACCTGCCATTCCATAACCAGACATTCTAGAACCGGTCAGTTCGTTACAGTGACATTTCGCAACCAAATTTTCCTGATGATCACAAACCACGCTTTTTTGTTTTTCACTTTTTCCTTGGAATTTAAAGGCGCATATATGGAAAACAAAAATTTCTTCCGAAAATACTCATAATTGTCACTTTCTGACTCACTTTGTACTTTAGGGAAAAATATGACAATTTACGAAAATCACGAGTTTTTGGGAAAAACAAAAATTTTGAGTAGTAGCTCATTCAAAAATATCTCTTCACGATGATGGGCGGTGTAGATCTTAATCCAATTGATTCGGGTAAATCGATTTTCAAATATCTACAGTAGTCCAGACTCCAAAAACTACAAAATTTTCCAGACTACACCGAGGACGAGATTGCCGTTCTGACTTTCATCGACGCGTACAAAGCGCAGGAAGTGGAGCTCCGCCCACAATTGCGTCCATTCAGTATTGAGCACATTCCAGCGATGGGAGAGGTCGACTTGTTTGTCAAGGTCCCAAGACCAGATGATGTGAGTTTGGGCTGGTCCGGTCCGGGAGGGTTTTTAGGCCATCCTGAGCCGGTTCTTCGGACTCGTTAGCTTTAATCCTATTTATCCAGCTTCCTATAAGAGATATCAGAAATATGTCAATTAAAAAAATGTTAAGCATAAAATGTTACACATTTTATCAATTAACAATTTTTTGATAACATTTATAGGAACCGAGATAAATTAGGTCAAAGACGTAGACAAGCGCCCGCTTCTCGGCGCCGTTTGGGGACTCTGTTTTCATCTACTATATTTTGCTTCTTGTAAGAGATATCAAAAAGTTATCAATTGATAAAATGTTTGCCATAACATTTTAAACATTTCATTTGTTGACAACTTTTTGATACCTCTTGCAGGAGCTGAGATAGCTTGCCTCAAAGTTAAACCGCCTCTCTAGCTTCTCTGCGCCCTCCTCTTTGAGCCGCGCTATCTCGCTAATCAATAAAGCTATCAAAATTACAAAACTAACAAGATATGTAAAATTTTATGTTTAACATTTTTACAATTTATTAAATTTAGCTAGCTATACTGGCTATTGAGATAAGGGTCGTTTAAGTCAGGGTAGAACCTAACGTTGGTTGGACTCTCGAACCTGTCACATTGTAGAACTCGTAATTTAAAAACCAAAAAAGCTAAATACATTTTATTAATTATGAAATTGTTGAGCATAGAATTTTACACATTTTGTTAATCAACAAAATTTTGATAGCTTCATTGGTTAGCGAAATCGCAGAAAGAGGAGGGCGCAGAGAAGCTGCCTCACCTGTTTTTTTACTTTGATCTAATTTATCTCAGTCCATTTAAAAGCTATCAATAATTCATAAACTAATAAAATATAGAAAATTTTATTTTTAACATTTTATCAGTAAACAACTTTTTGATATCTCTTACAGGAACCAAATTATCTAGGCTCAAAGTTGGACTGCCTTTCTAGCTTCTCAGCGCCCTTCTCCTTGCTATCTCGCTACCCAATAAATCCATAAAAATTTGGGAAACTAACAAAATATTTGAAAATTTAAGCCTAACAAGAATTTCAGATTGACGACAACGTTGGTCTCACTCAAATCGATGAGCCACCATGTAACCAAAGTGACGCCACCATTGTCGAGATGCAAATCAGAAGTGCCGTTAAGGATATGACAATTTTGGATGACGTGGTCCCGGTGAAGGTTTTGGAGAATGCTGATGAGAAGCCAGATCAGATTAAGAAATGGATTGCTGATGTGAAGGTTTGTTAACTTGAGGGCAATTATCTCAATTATTTTAAGACAGCCGAGCTACGCCGTCGCAGTTCAGGACCCAGGTGTTCGAGACTAATTTTCTCGATTCCTGTAAAAGATACAAAAAAGTTGTAAACTGATAAAATGTTTGTGATAAAATCTTACACATTTTATCAGTTGACAACGTTTTGATATCTCTTTTTGGAAGCGAGATAACTTGACTCGAACTTGGGAGCAAGAGGGTGCCACCTCTCTAGCTTCTCTGCTCCCTCCTTCTTGACCGATGCTATTTCGCTAATCAATAACGTACACAGGTGTGTTTTTTTACAGGAACTCCACAAATCAAAACCACCAACTACCGTCGCTTTCAAAACCAAACTTCCCGATACGGAGACTGTTATGCAAGAGATTCCAGCATCGTTCGAGCAACTTCTCCAGAAAATCTCGGTAAGCGCGCTTTTTAGCTCATAACTTTTTTTGAAATTGAATATTTTTGAATGGAATAGAGTGAAAAATGTAGAACGTGTCAAGGGCTACAGGATGATATAAAGTTTGACTGGAATTGAGTGGTTTCAGATAAGCTACGCGGTTAGCTGTCGCCCATGGCGCGACCGCGTAGATCAAATCGGTAGAGGCGGTGTAACTAGCTTCAAACTCAAGCTTTCGAGCTCAAATAAAATACAGAATGTAGAACTTTTTGAGAGCTACAAAATAATATAAAGTTTTACTAATAGCAAACAATTACCGCTGAGATAGATACACAGTTGCAGCCGAAGTTTGCGGTCGGTAGTCGCCGACATCGCCCGCATCAGCCTATTTTGGCTCATATGTAACTTTTTTCAAATTCAATATTTTCGAATGAAATAAGCTGGAAAATGTAGTACATTTTCAGGGCTACAAATTGATATAAATTTTGCCTAGTAGCAAGCAATTATCGCTGAGATACACGGTTGCAGCCAAAGCGTGCAGTTGACTGTGGCCGCCATCGCCTGTATCTCACTATTTTGGCTCATAACTTATTTCAAATTGGATGTTTTTGAGCGAAATAAATTGGAAAATGTAGAACATTTTAAGGGCTACAAAGCAATATAAGATTTGACTAGTTCCGAACAAGTCTGCGGTAAGAATTCCGCTGACGTCGCCGGCGCCATCGACTTCAACTTGCCTAACTTGACCCCAAAATTCTTCCAGCTCCCAACAGCGGATTTGGATTGCTCATTGGAGGAATACGTCGATATAATGCTCAACGCCGTCGACATTCCAGTCGGGAAAAGTCGCATCGAATCACTTTATGTCCTTTTTGCGACACTTCAAGAATTCGAAAGATCTCAACACTTTAGAAGCATAGCACAACCAAGAACTACTGATAATAATCGTGGAGAGGGAACGTCTTCCAATATTTTGGAGCTTTAATTGATGTTGTCTAATTAACTCGTTAATTGGCTCTCACTAATTACCTTTAATAACACCGGTGTCCACAGTCTTAAATCTATCCCTTGTTAAGATCTTTTTCTACTCTTATTATGCTAGAATATCCAAAAAATATTATATCTATAGCCCAAAAAAAAACAAAATTTCAAAAAAAAAGTGTTTTTTTCCAAAATTATAACAAAATCCAAATCTTTTCTTCCCAAAAAAAATATATACCAAAAAAATTTAAAAATACAAAACTTCAAAAATTCAAATTCCCAAAAAAGTATATATTTCCAGATTTTGGAAATCTGGAATTTCCATCCCATTTTCAGCCAAATTATCCAAACAAAAATGTTTTCAAAAATTCCAAAAAGTGTGTCCTGACCCCATCGAATTTCTTCCTGTACGCCCAGGTTTTTTTCCCGGAAAAAAATTAGACGATCCTAAATGTTTTTTCTCCGGTTTTTTTTCGATCTCATTTCATCTCAAAAATGTTCTCTGTGATCCAATTATCATCGATTTTTTTTCTTTGAATAAACTTGTTTGATTTGAAAAATGTTCAGGGAAAAAACTGGAATTTCAGAATTGAAAAAAGGGGCAGTGCTTCCCAAGGGGGTGGGATTAGCCAGGTGTGCTAAGCTCCGCCCACTTTAACGACAACATAAAGGCTAGCCCATTTTTCCCGATTTTTCCAATTTTTTGAATTTTTCAAAAATCACAAAAACTGGAATTTCTTGAGTTTCTGAATTTCAATTTTTCTGGAATTTCAGAATTGTTTTCTTTCGTTTCCTTCCTGTTCCTTTTTTTCCTTGAAACATTAAAATAGATAATTTTTGATAAGAACAAACAAATTGTTGACACTTTTCTTTGTGTTTCCTGTTGACTCAGCAACTTCACTTTTTTCAAAAAAAACCTTCCGCTTTTTTTTTCGTTTAATTGCTCATCAAAAATAGTATCAGCCAACAACAGGAAAAATTCCTCCGGCTAAACTTTTTTCCCAGAAAAATGGCATGCATAAAAATGTCCAAAAACCCCATCAAAACATGTTGTTAAACACATCTGGAGAGGGGTACTTTGGACAATAAAACTTTCTGAGAGTCAAAAAAAAAAATGAAAATGGGCAAAATTTAAACCAGAAAATCAGGTTTTAGGACTTAAAATTCCTAGAAATTTGGGACAAAATGACTAATTTTAGCTGAAAAAAGTGGTTTATTTTGAACACCTACAAAAGTACTCCATATTATTTGGTTTTGTGTGAAAATTTTAGAGAATACACTAAACAAAACTGGAGCTTCATTTTTGTAATTGACACTTTTTTCTGAAAATCAACACATGAAGAGATAGAGAGACTTCAAAAAGAAGACAACATAAATAACTGGTAAGCTATAGAAGACACTAGAGTTGTTTACGATGACTGCGCAGCTCATTAGGCATCAGTAGGGAACCAACCCCGTAGCTCAGCGAAAACTCGTCACAATTATTTGAATTTTACATTGTTTTGTAGCCCTTAAAAAGTTCTATACACTGTACATTATTTGAGCTTAAAAGGTAGAGCTTAAAGCAAGTTACGCCGCCGCAACCGATTTGAGC